TGAAGATCGGTGTAGCTGAGAACACAGGGGCTCCCCCCGACCCCCCCGCTCCCAGTTCCAAGGCTTTCTTCCCAGAAGGAGCAGGACATCAACCTTCTCATCCTGCTCCCCGCTATCTGTTGCTGGGGCCGAGTCCCAGGCAAATGCAGTTGAGAGTCAGGGGCTCCCTTCTCTCATCCAGCCTTCACTCATGAGATGGAGGCTCTATACTTGGGCATGGTCCCCTGAGAATACTAGGTCCTGGATGGCCCATGTCCTGGCTCAGGAAATAGTGCTTTCATGCCATGAATGGACCTTAGGCTACTGCCCCTCACCCACTGATCCTTTGAACTAGAGCGAGAGTGTCATTCAGAGAGTGTCATTCAGAAACTTGCCATTGTCCCTATTCTCAGGTCAAGAGGCCCGGCTCAGAGATTTTGCCCAGAGGGAGAAAGAGGCTGTAAAACACTTAGCTCCTAAACTCTCACCAGGGGAGCCAATTTTATTTGCAACAATGTGTGAAGTTCAAGTTTACAAGCACTTGTCAAAAATGGTAGAGATTGAGGTGAAAGCCAGAACAATCTTGAGAAAGAACAAACCAGGAGGAACACAGTTCCCGATTTCAGAACTTATACAATGCAATGGTCATTAAGATAATTTGCTACCGTGAGAAGGACAGACATATAGCTCATTGGAATAGAATTGGGAGTCCGGAAATAAACCCACACATCCGTGGTCAACTTATTATCAACAACGGTGCCAAGACTATTGAGTAGGAAAAGAATAGTCTTTTCAACTGAAGATTGTACAATTGGATATCTACATGCAATAGATTGAAGCTGGACCCCTATTCCACACCGTATTCAAATATTAATTCGAAATTTATCAAAGACTTAAATGTAAGAACTAAAACAATAAAAACCTTAGAAGAAAACATAGCAGTAAATCTTCATGGCCTTGGTTTTGGCAATGCATTCTTTCACATGATACCAAAAGCACAAGCAATAAAAAATATATATAGATAGATAAATTGGGTTTCGTGAAAATTAAAACGTTTTGTGCATCAAATGACATTATTGAAAAGTGAAAATACAACCCAGAGAGTGAAAGAAAATATTTGCAAAACATATAAATAAGAGTCTAGTATCCAGAATATATAAAGAACTTTGACAACCCATTCACTCTCCTCGCCCTTCCACTCTCCACTCTCTCTCTCTCCCTCTTCTCTTTCTTTCTTTCACATGCTCACACACACACACACACACACACACACAACCATTATAAATGGACAAAGGATCTGAATAGACATTTCTCCATTGAAGATATACACACTGTCAATAAGCACATGAAAAGATGCTTGCCATCATTAGTCAATGGGAAAATGTAAATCAAAACCATGAGATACCACTTCACACCCACTAGAATAAAAAGGTATGTTAATTACAAGTGTTGGTGAGCATGTGGAGATATTGGAACCCCTGTATGCTGCTGGTGGGCATGTAAAGTGGTATAGCCGATTTGGACAGTAATCTGGTGGTTCCTCCAAAAATTAAGCATAGAATATTGCCAGAAGAACCAGCAACTCCTAGGTCTGTATCCCACAGAACTGAAGACAGTTTCAAACAAAAAGTTATACGTGAATGCTCACGACAGAACTACTCACAATAGCCAAAAGGTGGAAACAACCCAAATGTCCATAAAATGTAATGGATAAACAAAATGTGGTTTATCCACATAATGGAATATTATTCAGTTAGAAAAAAAGAGGGAATTGCCGATACTTGCTACACCATGGATGAACCTCGAAAACATTATGCTAAGTGAAAGAAAGCAGACACGAAAAGACACATACTGTAGGATTCCATTTATATGAAATGTCCACGGCAGGGATATCCATAAAGACAGAAAGAAGATTAGTGGTTGCCAGGGGCTGGAGGGAAGGGGGTAGAGGGATGACAGCAAAAAGATACCGAGTTTCTTT